GAAGCTTCATTTAAAATTAAACTAAAATGCAGAGCCCCCTGGACCGGTAGCCAGGACCCGGGCAGTGTGAGTGCCACTGAAAATCAGCTTGCGTGCCGCCTTCGGCACGCGTGCCATAGGTTGCCTACTCCGATGTAATATATGCACGGAGACACAGCCTGATTTTCAGAAGTGCTGACACCCAAAACTCCCATCATGCCCAATGGGTGTTGAGTGGGTGTTCGGCACCTCTGAAAACCAGCCTTGGATGCCCATTTACACTGCCTTCCGCTTTAGAATTGTGTGCTCTTTTATGGCCGATCCAAAACCCACTCGTGTCGATGGGAATCTCTGCAATGCAACTGCCGGTGCAATGGTTTCCAGAGCCAGGCAGAGCTTAAGCCGGTAGCATGCTCGTCTTGCACAGTTCTTCTGGTATCAGCACTGATGATTCTCAACCCACTGCTATTCCAGTTTGGGACTTCTTCAGACATTGTATTAATCTGTATGGTGGACACCACCAGAGTCTAGACTGACAACTCTGGCTGAGCGCTGTATTAAAGTTGCTTATCATTTTACTTGGTGCTTATTTCCTCTGGAAATTTCCATTACATGCGTCTGACGAAGTGGGCATTCACCCACGAAAGCTTATGCTCCAATACATCTGTTAGTCTTAAAGGTGCCACAGGACCCTCTGTTGCTTTTTACAGATCCAGACTAACGCGGCTACCCCTCAGATATAGAACTGACTGTTTCCCTGAATTCTGCTCAGAGATCTCTGAAATCTTGCTTAGATTTCTCTTTTCAAAGAGGATAATGCCCATTTTGATAAAATGGGAGTTGCTGTTTCCTTACGGTATCTCTGCTTCCTGTTAGTAATCAATCAATCAATAAACTCCATATTTACTTTTTGAATGTAAAAATTACCTTTCCCTGCTAACCCAGTCTTGACAGAAGCCATTTGAATAGGAATAGGGAATCTCTACTAGTTTATATCAAACAAACCTGAAACCTACGTTTACAAAACTGCTTAATTCGTTAGGTCAGCTCTGTCTTTGACAATTGTAATATTTATGGTTTAACAAAAAGAGTAAGCGTATATTGACTTGATGATGTGTTGTTGTTAATTATAGACTTCTGGTAATATGAGAGGTTCAATTAGAACCTCCTTATTGAGGACTTTGAAGGTAAGAGCATAAACTGGTGGCCCATTGCTCCTTGGAGGTAATCAACATCTCTCTAAACAGTTTTCAAGATTTTATTACTGTGAAGCTAGAGGACATTGGAACAGTTACAGAAGACTCTGGAAAATTGGGCTGTTTTGAATATTCAAATTAAATGACAAAACAAAGTTCGGGGAGAATACAGACGTAAATGTCCATCTGTCCTCTGACCCATGTGAAAAACATGGTTATGGAAATATGTAAGTTAAAGTTCAGCACATGCTTCAATTCCTTACTAGATAGGGGTGGTTTGCTGAATCAGGGCCTTTGGGTGTACACAGACAAGTGTAAATACAGTGATTTCACATTTTAAATAGGGCTGGTTGAAAATTTCCATCTGTTTTCAGCCAGAGCTTTCTTTTTTTTTTTAAGTCAACATTTTCAGGTGGAGGAGAATATTTCTGATGAGTTCTAGTTTTCAAGGGCCTTTGAAAAGGTGGCAGTAAGGAGTTACTCTCAAGAGAATTGGTGGGAAATGGTACTTTTTCAGATAAATGGTTCTGCAATGAGGTCTGCATGGATCTAATCTCAATGGTGGAACAGGAGCACCAAAAATGTCAGCCCCACCTTTATTCTGCATGTTTGTTTCTTTGGATCTGTAGACATTTCTTTACATTTTAACTCACTCAGTCACCTCTTAGTTCAATATTCAGAAAACAATCTCCCAAAATTCTTCCTCAAATCACCTATGAACCCATCAACATTACTATCACAAACATGAATCCACTGAAAATATCAGAGGATCCCTCTTGGAAATGTTTTTAAAGACCACCTGACATTCTGGAGCCTTCAGCAAGTCCAATATGTGCAGAGATGGGATCCCAGAATTGTGTGTGAATCCCCCACCCCAAAACGTACATGAAGTTAACACCGTTAAGTTCATTCTCAAACTTTTTCTTTCTGAATGCTGAAAATATTCCTAAAGGCTGCTGAAAAAAAGGGAATAAAATGTTTTTTTAAAAAGTCTAAAGAATGCTGGGATGTGACAGTGGGTTTCAAGAGGGGCTTAACTACCAGTTATCTGAGATTCCTGCTGCTCTTCATTCTGATAAAATGGGACTTGTTGGGGACAGGGTTGAAATTTCTAGTGACATGACTTTCCATTTAGGCCCCGACTCAGCAAAGCTCGAAAGCTCTGATGAATCAGGATCTAAAACATTAGCAGAATGGCCAGCCTCTCATCTGGTTTGATTTCAACTCCGAAAATTAGCAACACAAGCCAAGTGGGCCTAATTTGGATAGACAGTTCCAAATTTTGTTTTAACCTTTTCCACTCTAACCCTCCAAAATGGGCTCCATATCAAATGCATTTTTAAGGCATGTTCCTGTTTTTCTCCTTAAATGTTCCTGTTTACAGCT